TACAATCAAAACTCAATGCTTTTTCTGGAGTCAACAACCAGACTGACCATTAACCGCAGGTTACGGTAAACTACAGGTGTAAACTGAACAAAACGTTTGAGCAGAACAGTTCACAAGGCACTGTTTAGACTAGTGACTTGGTTTAAGCAGCTCAGAATATTGTTTCAACTTTAACTGATGACCTAAGACAGGCCATTTTTTTTTCTTTTTTTTTCACATTACGTTCAATTATTTTTCCTTGTTTTTTTTAAACAACACTCAGTAGACTAAAATTGTCAAACATTGTTGCCTTCAAAGTACATTCGTGTGTTTGCCTTACAGAAGTGGGAACACATTTTTGAATTATTATTAATTATGAATATGGCTGTATGTATTTGAATAAGGTTTTGAGATATATTTACAAGGAAACTTGGACCTGAGCATCATAAGTCATCGAAGCCGTCTACATCAAATTGTTTGCTTTGTTTGCATACTTGTAGTATTTGGTATATTATACAGCTAATATGCCAAGTTATTTTTTCGGACTGCTAGCTGCTGTTGGGCTCTGATTGCAGGAATGAGTGATGCAGTGAACATTTACCTGTTGATTTTTGCTTATGTAATTAAAAAAGCCCCCTTTCAGCAAATTAATTGAAGTCTCACATGTCGCCACACTGTGACTTCCAGATTTTCATCACAAAATGCTGCAAAGATGGTTCCTGTTACCACGACAATTCCTGATTTTAGGGCTGTTCTAAACAGGTTTGTTTTCCTCTTAAAACAAACAAACAAAAAAACAACAATAAGCTGCTGCTGTTCCCGCCCCCTTCGGTTAGAACACGCTGTCTGCATCTGTGATTGACAGTTTGATCTGGACAACTGTTGGTTAGTTATGTGTGAGGTATTGTCATTAAGCATCTTTAAATCTTGACAACTTTTATTTTACACCTCTGAGTTTATAGCAACCATAAAACACAAAAAGGAAAATGGGCTTTTCCGTATGGGACCTTTAAAGTTTGCTGTGGCACTTTTGCACACTCACAGTGCATTAGCCATCTTATTGGGGAATTTTTTAACCCTATGTCAATAAATTAGCCTGTTATGTCATTAGACCCACACTAACCATTGGCTTTATTATTGCAATTCACCTGTTTTTATATCACAGATGCCAGAATATGCTATGAGATATGTTACCTTTAGGTTTGTCAGAAGAGAAGACACCCATGTATCCTGATGTGAGCTTCTTCTCTTTGAGGATGTTGGGGAGGATTAGATTAGGACATGTTCCACTGGCACAGTCGCTGCAGGTGGCAGTGTCCTTATCTAGAGAAGCAAAATGCAAACAGCTGTGAGCCCGCTTACTCATTTAGTTTAGTTGTTATTCATTTACATCAGGGATTAGATTCTGATTACTGACCAGATTTCATTCACGTAGCATAAAACGATCTCTGGCAATCACACACTCACCTGCCAGGTTCTCCAGAGGAAGATCTGGGCGTATAAGGTTGACATATGGCTCTTTGTAGCCCAGCTCCACCCAGTTAGTGTGGCTGTAGAAGTCCTGACAGCATATGGAAACATACGTGATGCAGATCTTTCTTTCTACATCCATTAACCTTCATCATTCTGTTTGTTCTAACTCTTTTTTCAATTTTCCTTTTAATTTCTTTACACGCCCTCTTCTCACCTGTAGTGTATGAAGGACTCTACCCAGAGTCTCCCTGGCTGCCTGGAAGTTCTCCTTACGAATGTTGGCTTTAATGGCCGCCATTCCCTCCGTGATTAGGCTGCGTCCCTCCAAGATGGCCTCAGAGTTGAAGTGATGTGGAGCACTGAGAGAATATTCCACATGTAAGACAAACCATATCTGTAGCTTTGTCATACATGCTGTACATGTTTAGGTTTTTTTTTTGTTTGGTTGGTTTTCCTCCAACTTTACCTGCTGAAGTCACGGTCGACCAGTAAATTCTGCATGTTGATCTCTTGAAGAGCAGAGTAAAACTTGGCACCAGACACCTCTCCTGTTGCCGTGGGACCGAGACAGGCTTGGACCAGCTCTTCAGGAGAGGAACCCTGAAGGTAGGAACAGACAGTAACAGTAACAGACAAGAGAAGAAGGTTTATTATCTAAACAAGAATAGAGTTCCACAAGAGACTATTTGCTTCAACAGTGGAGCCATGTTTGTGTGAAACCTATCAACTCTAATATCACTGAAATTAAATTAGAATTAAATTGAAATACCACAAGTTAACATTTATTCATCAACATTTTTAGGTATTATGTATCCAGGTTGACGTAAAACACACAAATGTGTGAAAGATGGTGATGAATCAGGGGGAATTTTACACGTTTGTGTTTCGGTATGTTATTGATGGCTGTTTGTGTTGTCTTGCACATTTGTTATGTTCCACCTTACCGTGGGTTTGAACTCATGACCGGCTGCCTCAGCCACCGCCTGACACGTCTCCGTCACTTTTTGCAATACAGCCGCTTTTGTAATGGTACCATGAGTGGCCACACCCTCCTCGATAATGAAAAAGGCCACAGCGGGGCCTGATAGAGTCAAAGCCAGCAGGGCTATGCCCAGCAATGAAATCATGATTAATCTGCAGAGAAAAATACATTGGTAGATGTCATGTTGGTTAAATGGAATTAGATTTTTTTTAAATGACCATTTATTTATTTGGTTCAGTTGGTTCCAATTTTGTATCCTCATATACTGACACATTTTCTGGAAGATGTACAACAATACACATCAGAATCAAAACATGTGACCCTTTATAGATCAACAATTATAATTCACAATCATCAGCCAAGAGGTAAAGGGTCAGTACACAGCTGTTATCAGATTTAAGGGTTTTCCTTGTAAAAATCATTATCATTGTAAAGTCATTATCACATGCACGTTTACTGTAATATATTATGTATCGGTGTATCTCAAAAATGTACACATTGCAAGTCACAAAGGTGGGGCAAGTTAAGATAGAACTTTGAAGATGCAAGTATTTCCCACCTTGAAAGTTGGAAGAGTGGAGGGTAATGATTCCAAACGACATTATGTAATATCAGTAATACAGTCAAATGTTCTACTTTATTCAAGCCTATTCATAAGTTAACTGTTCACATTTCATTTAGTTGTTCATTCCAACACATATAAAAACTGATTCGGAATTAATTAATTCATAATTTTCTTATGAAACATATACCTACTAGATGCCTTTCTATTCCACTACTGTCACCTTGAACTGTATCCAGTACATATAAAGGACTTAACCAAAGCTTTTCAGGGCGTTGGAATGGATTAAAGTCTAAATTTCAGAGCCCAGAGTTGCACAAAATAGTTTCCTCCTCATCTTTACCAGCACAGACGTTAGCTTAAACATGCATTAGCATTTAATCCACGTTTTTGTGTCAGTGTGGTTGTTTGTTTTTTTGAAGACCTTCTCTGTGCATCATAATCCTTCATAACAAATCTCACCAAAAATGCTTTCCGAGATTACGTTTCATTTTCTTGAAACATCTTCCAGCTAGCTCATTGCGACATTTTTGTATTTTGTGTATCTTCTTCCAGCCATGTATCCCGGCAGGACACAAAGAAGATTTAGTTTCCTAAAACATTTCTGGAAAAAGAGGTTAATGCCCTGCCTTAAAAGTAAAAACAACCATGCAGCCAAATAAACCACATCCCGTCTCCTCCTGAGATTTTTTGGTCCAAAGTACAATGAGGGAAGAAAGAATGTGCAGTGAGACAGAGTGTAAGCAACAGTGATAGTGAGGGATGGGATGAGCTTGGGAAAGATATGCAGAAGATTAAAGAGCAATCGAGTATGAGAAAAGACCAACAAGAAATCAGGGAAATGGTGAGTAAAGAAGCCAAAATGCAGACACAGTCAACAGAAGTAAAAAATTTACCAAAAGCAAATTTTAGTCCAAGCTGTTTCCAAAACAACGAAACACAATCAAGATAAAACAAACACACAAGGAGCTGACTAAAGTAAATTTAAAATAATAATAATAATAATTATAACTAAAGCATGGAATAAATAAAAGCAAACAATTAAGAAATATAAAATGGCTCACATGTAACACTGGGAAGATCCCTCGGAGAAATGGGCCGGGACGCTGGCAAGACAGCACAAGAGAAATTGGCAAAGATCATGAGGAAAAGGATCAGTATATATATGTACACTAGGGCAGGGAGGACAGTCACACACAGGTGGAGCATGACATGACATGACACAGAGAGTGTGTAGGAACACAAACCAGGAAACACCAAAATTCAACAGGAAATAAATGAACCATGAATTAAGAGCGGAAGCCCCCCACGATGGCTCAGGAGGAGATGGAGATCCTCTGGAGACCAGCAGCGGGATCTGGGGTGGCATCTGCAGACTCTGAAGCTGGGGGAGCGGTCTACTGACCCTGGAGAAGGGAAAATGATAATTGACTCCAGAGTAGTCTATAGACCAAGGGAACATCAATCATCATCACTGTGGATCAGTCTTTGGACCAGGGCAAACATCAGCTAACTATGGAGCAGGGCAAACATCAGCTAACTGTGGACCAGGGTAAACATCAGCTGACTGTGGGCCAGGGGAGATGTCAGCTGACTCAACAAATGGCTCACAAACCAGGCACACAGGTAACACTGGAAAGGTCACATGGATCAAAGGGCTGGGACACTGGCAAGATGGCACAAGAACAACTGGCAAAGAAAATGAGAAAAAAGATGAGTAAACAAACACTGGGGCAGAGAGGACAGCCACACACAGGTGGAGCACATTAGGGCGGGGCCAGACGGGTAATTGCACAGGTGTGAAAGCAGACAAAAACCTGGGACTACAAAGACACCTGAGACAGAGGGTAAGTACAAACACATGACAGGACATGCCAATATAAAACAGGAAATAAATAAACCATGAATTAACAATGGGAGCTGGCCAGAAACTCAGGTGGAAACCAAGCTCCTCTGGAGACCAGCAGCAGCTGTGAGATAGGGCCAGATACACATGAGGCCCAACTGGGAGTGCAATCAATGGAGCTGGGCTGAGGTCTGCTAACCCTGAAGCAGAGGAGACATCAGCTGATTCCAGGGCAGTCTCGGGTCCAGGGGAAGCATCAGCTGGGCCTGGACCTGACGTTGGTTGATGCAGGAACAGATGAGTTGTCGGCAGCCCTCACGGATGCAGGAGCTGATAAGGAATCTGCCAGGAAGCAGGACTGATAGATGTTGACATCACGGAGCTTGGTGATGGGGAAAAGCTCCCAGGAGGAGGTGTCTGCAGGAAATGTTGAGGGGCAGGATCCTGCTGGAAACTGCCTGGTTTAGTGCAGACCTGGAGGACTGGCTCTGGAGCTGGCCGGAGATTATCATGATGGTGGCTAGGTGACTCTGAAGCTCCAGGTAACAGGGGATTTGTGTGTGTGGGGGGGCCTGTCCAGTCCGAGACTTTTGTCCAGCAGGAAGGACGGCAGCGAGCTGGATGACATGGAGATGACTGTTGACTAGGAACCTCCTCTACGTCTGGTCTGGGATCTTGCTGTCCTTTGAGGGTTGGCTTCATGGCTAGGTGGGTTCCCCAAAGAACTAAAAACCCATCATGAAAGAATGAAGGGCCGAAGAGCCCAGTAGAATAGTCGTCTGTTTCTGTGTTTTGTTCATTTGTCCATCCATCCATCCATCTCTTTCTTCTGCTTATCCAGGGTCGGGTCGCGGAGGCAGCAGGTGGAGCAGGCCATTCCAGACATCCCTCCCCCTGGGAACACTTTCCAGCTCTTCCTGGGGGATCCCAAGGTGTTCCCAGGTCAGCTGAGAAATATAATCCCTCCAGCGGGTTCTGGGTCTTCCTGGGGGTATCCTCCCAGGTGGATGTGTTCAGGAAACCTTCAGAGGAGGCTTCCAAATCAAATGTCCAAAACATCTCAATTGACTTGTTTCGATCTGATATAGGCCCGCATGACTGCTGACACAGCACCAAGCCGCCTGTCCACCTCGCGTTCCATTTTCCCATCGCTTGTGAACAAGATCCTGAGATACTCCATTGCTTGGGGAAGCAATTCCCCCCCACCCCCCTTTAGAACTTAGTTTGGGTTCAGTAATTTAAATCCAACTGTTAAATATCTACTATCATCACAAATCTTAAATACTACTAAACGTGATTAAAATGACACTGAACGTGACACTGAACGTGATCGTATATTTCATACGGTCCTAATATAAAAGCGTTAACATGCAAGCAAATGGTGGAATTTCAGGGTACATGCAACTGAACTTCTAGTCAAACTAAGAATAACAATAGGAAAAATAAGACTTCAGAATTGTATATGCTTAGGATAAAAGTCTTTCTATGTCTTTCATGGCTGTGACAGAGAGGTGGATGTGTTTGTGTTGTGATGTGAGGTATTCTTTAGTACTGGTCCTGATGACCTGGTTTCATAAATCGAGTCCTGATGTTGGGATCCGATGATGTTGAATTTCCCTTATTTTAGGATTTAAAACTGTTCAGTTCATTCTTGTGCAGAGGGTGTTAGGAGGAGAGAGAAAAAGGCCAGGAGGTCACAGTGAAGAATGCAATCTCCTCTTCTCCAGAGGTGTGGTTGTCTTAGGAATCAACACCTTGGGACTGTTCTCGGGTTCTTAAGGGTCTTTTTCCATTCCCCATGCAAACTAATTACGGCCATAGTTGGCTTTTGGCTGTTATCAGGGAAACGACGAGCAAAAAACCCAAAATGCGAACACTGACAAAAGAAGTAAAAATGAACAAAAGATGACCTGTAATCCAAGCTGATTCCAAAACAACAAACCACAGTCCAGAAAAAACAAAAGTGAGGAGTGTTAATCAAAAAAATCAAAAAATCCTGAACTAAAGCAAACAGTAACGAAACACATAAAGCTTACAAACTAGACAAAACAGGAAACACCAGAAGATTCACATGGAGAACAGGACTATTGTCCTGGCAAGACAGCACAAGACAAATTGGCAAAAAAAAAAAAAAACATGAGGAAAAGGATGAGTGTGTCTACAGTGGGACAGGTTAAACAATCACACGCAGGTGGAGCACATTAGGGCTGGGCAATGTAGTCATACAGGTGGGAAAGCAGACAACAACCAGGGAGTGTAAAGACACGGAACAGGAAATAATTAAACCATGAATTCAGAGTGGTAACTGGAAATGACACAAGTTGACCAAATGACTGTATGTGTTCAGTGCCAAGGCCATTCTTATGTGTGTATAGCCTCATTTGCTACAAAAGCTCATTTCAGACACGGGATACGTGACATTACTGGCGTCATAAATCCGTTAAAGTGATGGCATTCTGTCATTCGAACAAAAATCAATTTGCAATCTGCTTAACTATTTGTATTTTACTTGACTATTTCCATTTCATGCTTGCTTTTACATTTAAGGGGATAACAGTGTACCTTTCACTATACAATTTTTATGCAATTTTTGCCTTGCTGCTGTTTTTACTTAACAGTTCCACATTTAAAAAAACAAACAAAAGACATGAAGTTATGAATTATGATGCACTGTTGAATTAAACTCCCAAACGTTAAGATCATGAAAACCAGCTCTGTCGCCATCAACTTTAGAACTAAAACACAAATTATACATCCACGCCACAGTAATAATGAGTTGCTATAAACAATACAAATACAGTGGGTCTTCTCTGGTTTGCTTTTGAGACTATTTTCTATGAGTGACTTTTAAAGATCTTGCAAAGAATCAGAATCTTGATGAATAAATCTGAAATACCTCCTCTACCACTTCCTTCAAACCAGATGGAGGAGATATTGAGATTTTTTTGGGGCACTATCTGATAACTGTACAGTAATACTTTGTTCAGATTATGAGAGGTGCCTGCAGTTAATTAAAAGATTACATTTTCTCTTCATTGGAATGATTTTGTTGTAACTCGGTGCAATAACTACGTATCTCTATGCAATAACACATTACATTGTATGCTATGCTTTATTTTCTTAGGAAAGCACATGTTACATTTATGCCTATACTGTTTCTACTTATATTCTAGTTTATATTTTTAGTTCATATTTTCTACTTTTGTTTATCTATGTATTTTGTACCGTTTATATTTCTGACTTTGAGTGAGAGAAACTATAACATCAGTGAAGTGTTTCTGATTCTGATTCTGTAACATATTTCAACATCTTTGGCCTCCTATGCTCCCATTTATACTGACGGCATTTTAACAGTTCTAAATATTGTTTACCAGCAGATGGTGACATTTCTCATCAGTAAGTCTTCTCCTTATGACACTCTGCTCCTACTCTACAATACTTTAAGCATCCCAAAAAAAAAGAGTCATATTAACAGCTGTTGCTCTAGTTCAAATGAATCAGGATGTGGGTGCCAACCACAGGTTAACCCTTTGGACCCCAAAACCTGCCAGTGGGTCTAAAAGTCATGTTGTCTTTCGAAGAATCACCCAAAATTACGCCATTAATCAGAGCCAGACACTAAAAACAGAAGGAACACAATAAAGGAATGCAATTTTTTTTTTTTTAATGATTTATTGCATCACTACTGTGTCATGCTACACAAGTTCTCTCTACTTCTAGCCATAGCTGTGCAGTTTCCATAGCATTTCAGGGCTTTGTATTGCAGTGAAAATGATCCAAAGCAAGTAAAATATGTGACAGAAGCAACAACCACACAAAAAAACACAGAAACTGCTGAGTATTGATGATGTGTATCATGTGTGAAATTGGGCTATTATGGATAATGGTTCATGCATGTTTTTAATTTGACACAAATTCACTGGATAGAGTTACCAGCATACATGCTCTTCTTTCCAAGTCACTTGGGAAGAAAAGCACAATTACTAGAATAGCAAGAATAGTTTTCCATCTCACCACAAAACAAGAAAGTTGATGTGTGAATAGTAGCGGTCAGAAATACAAAGGTTCAGTTATTCAGCACTCAAATGTGGATTAATAATTATCTTTCTCTGTGTATGTCAGCAATAAATTGTACCACTGCTATTACTGATGTACTGAAAGACACAGCAGTCAGCAGTGGTTTCTTTTCGATCATTTATTTTTCTTTTTTTTCCCTTTGTTCCTATTCTTGTTTATAGGGCTGCAAGGTGGATCAGTGGTTAGCATCATTGCCTCGCAGCAAGGATGTCACCGGTTCGTGTCCTGGTGGAGGCACCAGGATCTTTTTTCTTTTTTTTTTTTTTAGTTATTTTTTTGGCCTTTGTGCCTTTATATGATAGTGCAGTGAGAGAGAGACAGGAAAGTGGGGGAGAAGAATGGGGAGAAGACGTGTGTGAAAGGGCCATGAGCGGGATTTGAACTCATGACCTCCACATTGGGACTGTAGCCCTGTACATGGGATGCCAGCTCATCCCAGCTCAACCAGGTGAGTTATAAGGGTGCCTGGCACCGGGATCTTTCTGCGTGGAGTTTCCATATTCTCCCCGTGCAGCATGGGTTTTCTCTGGGTTACTCTGGCTTTCTCCCACATATTCCAAAACCATGTTGAGGTTAATTGGTGATTCTAAATTGTATGTAGGTGTGATTGTGAATGTGCTTGGTTGGTCTGTCTTTAAGTGTGGCCCTGTGATAGACTGGTTACCTGTCCAAGGTATGTCCCCTGCCTTTACCCTAAGTCAGCTGGGATAGGCTCGGGCGCCCCCCCCCCCCCGTCTTGTTTATAAGAATAACGATGAATAAAAGCCACCACATTCTTTTTGGATTAACTTATCATTGGATTTGATTGCAAAATGTTAACAAACGCCACCAAATCCTGTACTGTGCTGATATTTAGTTAGAGAAAGGAGCCTTTCAGCAACATATTTTATTTCATAAAAATTTAATTCCTAAAGACAGTGCATATGCATTTTTCCCCATGATAGATGTGTCTTAATGTGATATATTGATTATTATATTGATTATCTGTTTAGCAAAATATAACCATCACCATAGAAACTGACTGTTTTATCTAGTTTCAGCACTGAGATAGGAAACAGCACAATCCAGCCTGAGCCCTTTAAGGTCCCACTATGAAGACTGATACCAGCAGGCACAGCCACAGTGGCAGCGACAGCGTCAGAGCAGGAGGGCCACCTGAATGGTCATATGCATAATAGCACCTGCCCACGTTGCCAACTTTATCAACAGCTACGAACTCGACAACCTGCAAGCAGCAGGAGGAGTTGTAGTTTGCCAGGATGATTGGAGCACTCAGTGGGGTGTGTGTTAAGTTTCCTTTACCCGTACGTAGGGTAATGCTCTCAATCCCGGTCCCGTTTCCGTCTGTGAGGTTAGCTGAGAGCTGCCAGTGGAAAGGTTCACACTGAGATGTATTGTTAAGGCAGTCATCCATCAGAAGACTAACCATTTCACACAATGGCGGCGTAAAATCTGTAATCTGGACAGAGAAGAGAAGAAGGATAAGGATTTTGTGCCTCTGTGAGAAAAATGTCAACATAGTGATACATCTGCACTCATCATAGTCTTTATGGCTACATTCAAAAGCTCTTCTATTAAGTAATTTCCAACTGTGCGTAATGTAAGGATGTTTCTGGTTACCTTGGTGACAACAGACAGTCTCAGGACAACATAATTTGAGTCAGCACCGCTGGACGATGTGGCTTGAATAGTCAGAGTGGCATCAGTGCCCGACGGTGTGTCGGCAGGTGGCGTAATAGTCAGTGTAGCATTAGCATATACTCCAGTTGTCAAAGTGAGGCTGTCAAAAGAGGAGAAAAACACATTTCAAGGGTACACGAGCTGGAACTTTAAGATGTAGCAGCTTCAGGTTGAGTAACATATGTGCCTGTACATACTACACCATGGCCTTCAGAGGAGCTCACTTTTGAACATTTTAGTCAGAAATTATAGAAACAGCATTCATATTTGGGAATATGAATATTTAGAATAGGAAAACAGATGAAAAGTAGCTACTGCTGCTTCCTGTTTTCAGCACCACAAAAAGTTTGGTTTGTCCTTCTATGTTGTGTTACAACAGTTGGCATCAAGAATTTATTTATTTTTTCTGATCTCTGATTTAAAGTGATTGAATTTTTAGTATTGCACCACTGGTCTTCAATGATGATGGCAAAAATAGCACACGTTGGTATCTTTATTAACGTGAATCAGTGATCAATTGCCTTAATTGAAAGATTGAAATTGTCCAGTGAAGTAGCTGTGCTTGGTTTTTGTTTATTGTCGGACCTGCCCCCCAACCCAAAGGCAGTAGCCCACTGGTTTCTGGCAGAGAACCATGGCCTCAGACCTGCAGGTGCTGACTCCCATCCTAGCCATTTTACTCTCGTAAATGCTCAGAGCAAAGAAATAGCCTCTTCTATTACTGTCCAGTTTTTGTACAGGTACAACAGACGAAAAACAGCTTTAGAGGAGCTGATGGATTTTTCTTACTATTATACTGAAGGAAGGCCTGGCTAGCTGTCTGCTCTGTTTCCCCTATTTTCCCTGCTAAGCGGCACATTTTCCAAAATGTCAAACTATTTCTTGGACATCTATTTAAGTGTTGTTTACACTTAAGAATCGTTTTTAGCTGCTTCCTCTCACCTCTCAGGGTAAGACATGGAGAAGTCTCTATCATTTCTGGCACTGATGGAGTATGAACCACCTGCTCCCTCAGTCTTCAAACTAAAGTTGAGCTGAAAGGGTTTTCCTGGCTCCAGGCTGCTGTCTACCATCACCTAAAAGGGACAAGGAGGAGAAACAGGTAAGACTGATATCATTCTTATACACCAATCAACAATGCAATGTTCTTACAATTTTAGGTCTGTATAGACTTTAACTGGATATTTCTTTGCCTTCCCCATGGTTTCTGAACATTAAAAAGCCTGTGTGAACAGTTACAAATGATGTGCAAAAATACAGACCTGGATATTCACTTTGGAGACAGATATCTGGGTGGTTGACTGCCTCTGAAATTCAGTGTTAGACACTCTGTCAGTTCCTTTCAGAATCACCACAAACTCCCCCTCAGGTACTGTGTAAACAGTCACCAGGACGTCTCCATTGCCCAGGTCAGTCATTGTGCCATTGGTAACAGCCTCACCACCAGACACTATTACGAGGCCAACCTCGCTGATATTCATCGAGGACGGACCTTTCTTACCCAATACTGAGAGCAGCAGGGAGGCTGGCTGACCTGGGTTTCAGCGTTGAGGAAAGAAGCAAAGAATCAAGGCAGGAAGTTGAACAAGAAAAAAATGTAATGACCAATTTCTGATATAAAAATATTACCTACAGCACTTTAAAAGATGATCTCTGTTTGCATGAGCTAAACTGATATGAAGCAAATGAGTTGTTTTCTCCTGATTTCTTGCACCGTTACCAAAAGTCATACAAGTACTAATGAAGACTGTTGTAAAACAACTGTTCTTTTGCAGTTACTGTACCTGCTTGTGGACGCCCACTGAGTACTGCATAGCCTGGGTGAGGTCCCGCAAAGCTTTCCACAAAGTTATAGATGAAGGTAATTGTACTCTGGCCTGGAAGCAAAAGTGCTTACAGTGAATACAGATACATGATATAGCTCAAATATAATTAACCCTGTTAGTGCACCAACAACCGTGAATTGATCTGGTTAGTGTATTCTGACACTTGAAAAACAAATTAAAAAAGCCAAGTGTATGTAGCTATATATACAAATATACAATATTCGACCTGTGATTTTGAGTGTGTATGGTTGGTAGGAGTTGATTTGGATCTTCCAGGCTCCAGTCTCCCTGGTAGAGTTGATTTGAATTCTCCACATGTTTCCCACTGTCTGGATGGTTGCGAGTCGACCGCTTGTCTCACTCTGGTCCTGGGTCAAACCTGAAAATGTTTATCGTGAATCATTAGTCATCACAATGATGTTCTCAGCAAGAAAAACAGGCACAGAGCAGGTCTTGACTATACAACATTGGGACGTTACCACTAGGGTTGGTCAACGTGAAAGTAATGGATGTTCCTGTGATGTAGATGGTGGCGTTTCTCAAAGTTTTATCCAGATTGAAGGGGAAGGTCTCTTGCTTCCCAGGATTCCTTGCTTGCTGAAGAACTGTCACCTGAGGGAAACAAAGAAGAGCAAACCAATGAATTAACTTAAGTCCTGGTACATGTTTCAAATCAAATATACTTGTAGACCTGCAGAATCTTACCAGAGCTGAAGTCGAGGTGTCAAGGATAATATCTGTGGCAAGAGACAGCTCTCTCTTGGATACCTGGATGGCCTGGCCACCAGAGGCCAGAGCTAATTCTATGTAGTCACTAAAGGAACCAGTTTTAAGAGAACGGCGACGCCTCCTGCCAGCTCCAGTGACAAAGAATGTCACCTGTGGAGATCAGTTAATGGAGAGTTTATACCACCAACCTCTGCACTTAAGATGGGTAAGTGAACACTGATCATTGACATTTACCGTTGATTTGGTGCTTCCCATGAGAGCAAAGATAGTGCCTATGAGTTCGATGTCTTTGGGTGGAGCATCAGTGAAAACATAGATTTGGGACGAGGAAGGGGCACCAGTGAGAGCCAGCTGGAGAAATAAAAGATTGCAATCTTTGAAAGATCCATTTTTGAAAATTGACTGCCCTGACCAATCACAATCCCAGATAAAAAGATGTCACAGTTAATTGTAGTACCTGAAGTCCTGACAGACACAGCTCAGGTGTATCACCACCACCAGATGCTGTGAGCTTAGAGATTTCACTTTTCATCTCATCAGGGTCTGTTGTCCTGATCATTGGTCCAAAACCTACATGTAAGCACAAAACAGAGCTAAGCATCTAGAAAGCAGAATAGATTTTTTTTTTCATCCCATCGACACTACATGTAGATTTAAAGTGTGTCCTACAATTAGCCACTTTACATTGCCTCTCGAAAAAGTATACCATCAAGCATTGGTCTCACACCACATATGGTTTTTAAACATGATCAGTAAGATGGGAAAAAAATCATACTGGGGTCATTGAAAGGCACCAGGATGTATTCAGAGGGCTCATCCTGTGTTCCTTTTTTGCTGTCAATGATTTCATAAACAGTCGCCCTGGCTTGAGCGATGTCGTCGCTCATGCTGCCGGTGGTGTCAATAACAAAGCACAAGACAGAGGAGCGAGCAATTCCCATCATTCTGTGAAAAAGCACAAGGGATTGTTCATTTTTTACCCTGCAGTACAACTATCGGAATACTTCCTCATGCATAGGATTAAGACATGTTTAAAATTTGACCGTCATACCTCAGAAAGTCATTGTCCCCTGCAGCTAAGCGGATGTCCTGCAGCAGCTCCAAGCTGGCAGCTGTGGCTGCATTCACAGCAGCATCGTGGAGGGCCTCTTTGCCCGAAGTGCGCTCGTCTTTGTTGATGCCTTCTCCACTTGAGCTTGTGAGGTCTGAAGCACCTCCGTGACTACATTTACCTGGCAAGAGAGATCAAAGTGGGTTTCAAGCTGCTATCTATAGCGCATTTGCACCTTGTGCTGAAGTGTTAAAAAGTTCATTTATGTTTGCAGTTTTATGTAGAGTGTAGCACATTTTTATGCCTATATTATAATATTATATCAACCAAATGCAGATGTTTTTAAGGGAGTAGTTCATGGAGGATCCATCAAACAATAAAGTAATTATATAGAAATAATAAAGATTCCCTATAGAGCATTAAAGGGATAGTTTCAAATTTGAGAAAATATGCTAACAAAACATAATAAAAATGTATTTTCACCATATACGACCTTTAAGGTTTGCTGTGGCACTTGTAGTAGTTTTGTTTTTCTGTTGGGAAAAATATGTATATCCTGTATGTACTGCATTGGCCAGCTGATTGAGGAATTATTTGTCGAATTTAGAGCTGATGTTAATGACCCCTCCCCCTTGAAACTGCAACCTTATTGTGGTGGGGGAGTTTGTGCGTTCACATGATGAGCAATGTTTTCTAGGGCTTCCTGCCCCTGGTAAGGTCACCCATGGCAAACAGGTTCTAGGTGACGGGACAGACAAAGGGCAGTTCTAAAACTAAAACTTCTATGACTAGTAATAAATCAAGGACTGTGACGTCGCCCGGTATGGCACAGGCGGGGCCCCATCCTGGAGTTGGGGCTTGTATGCAAGCCCCAAGCCCGGTCAGGCCTTTGCCCTTGGGGCCCGGCTGGGCGTAGCCCGAAAGGACGACATGGGCCCGCCCTCCTGTGGACTCACCACCTGCAGAAGGAGTCATGGGGGTGGGGTGCTGAGAGGACTGGGTGGCGGTCGAGGGGGGCTGCCTCGATGGCCTGGTCCACGTACACAGCCTCTGGTTGTCGGGACGTGGAATGTCACCTCGCTGGGGGGGAAGGAGCCTGAGCTTGTGCAGGAGGTTGAGCGATATTGGCTAGATATAGTCAGCCTCACCTCCACGCACAGCCTGGGCTCTGGAACCCAACTCCTGGAGAGAGGCTGGATGCTCCATTTCTCTGGCGTTGCCCCCGGGGAGAGGTGGTGGGCTGGAGTGGGCCTGCTCATTGCCCTCCAGCTCAGCTGCCACGTGTTGGAGTTCACCCCAGTGAACAAGAGGGTCAGGTCCCTACGCCTTGGGGTTGGGGACAGGTTTCTAGATAGTGCCCCGACTGGGGACTCCTTTGTTCTACTGGGGGCCTTCAACGCCCACGTGGGCAACATCAGTGAGAACTGGAGAGGGATGATCTGGAGAAACGGCCTCCCCGAGTGGTGTTCTGTTGTTGGACTTCTGTGCTAGTCACAGTTTGTCCATCACAAACACCATGTGCGAGCACAAGGGTGTCCACATGTGCACGTGGCACCAGGACACCCTAGGCCGGACGTCGATGATCAACTTTGTAGTTGTATCATCAGACCTCTGGCTACGTGTCTTGGACACTCAGGTAAAGAGAGGGCCAGAGCTGTCCACTGATCACCACCTGGTGGTGAGTTGGATCCACTGGCAGGGGAAGAAGCTGGTCAAACCTGGCAGACCTAAGTGTATCGTGAGGGTCTGGCAGAATCCTCTGTCAGCAGGGTTTTCAACTCCCACCTCCGGGAGAGCTTCTCCTAAATTCCCAGGGAGGGTGGAGACATGGGGGCCGAGTGGTCCATGTTCTCCTCCTCCATTGTCTCTGCGGCTGCTCGTAGCTGTGGTCGCAAGGTCTCTGGTTCCTGTCGTGGTGGCAATCCCTGAACCTGGTGGTGGCAGCCGGAAGTAAGGGATGCTGTCAAGCTGAATAAGGAGTCCTTCCTGTCATTTTTGGCTTGAGGGACTCCTGAGGCAGCTGACAGGTACCGGCAGGCCAAACGTGCTGTTACAGAAGCAAAAACTCGGGTCTGGGAGGACTATCGGGGAGGCCATGGAGGAGGACTATCGGTCAGCCTCGAAGAAATTCTGGCAAACCATCCGGAGCCTGAGGAGGGGAAAGCAGCTCTCCACCAACACTATCTACAGTGCGGGTGGGGACCTCCTGACCTCGACTGAGGAGGTCGTCAGGTGGTGGAAGGAATACTTCGAGGGTCTCCTCAATCCCGCCGTTACATCTTCCGAAGAGGAAGCAGAGACTGTGGACTCAAATCCATCCTGAGTACCTTAAGTCTCTGGATGTTGTAGGACTGTCCTGGTTGACACATCTCTGCAACATTGCATGGTGGTCGGGGACAGTGCCTCTGGATTGGCAGACCGGGGTGGTGGTCCCTCTGTTTAAGAAGGGGGGGCCGGAGGGTATGTTCCAACTACAGAGGGATCATACTCCTCAGCCTCCCCGGTAAGGTCTATTCCAGGGTTCTGGAGAGACGGATCTGACCAATAGTCGAACCTCGGATTCAGCAGTCTGGTTATTGTCCCGGTCGCAGCACACTGGACCAGCTCTATACCGTCCGTCGGGTGCAACCAGTCCACATGTGTTTTGCGGATCTGGAGAAGGTGTTCGACTGTGTTCCTCGTGGTGTCCTGTGAGGGGTGCTTTGGGAGTATGGAGTCTGGGGCCCTCTGTTAAGGGCTGTCCATTCCCTGTACGACCGCAGCAGGAGCATGGTTCACATTTCTGGTAGTAAATTAGACCTGTTCCCAGTGCACGTTGGCCTCCGCCAGGGCTGCCCTTTGTCACCGGTTCTGTTCATTATTTTTATGGACTGAATTTCAGCCCGACAGAATTTCTCGGCGCAGCCAGGGGGAAGAAGGGGTTCGGTTTGGGAACCACAGAATCTCATCTCTGCGGTTTGCAGGTGATGTTGTTCTGTTGGCTTCATCAAATCAGGACCTTCAGTGTGCACTAGGGCGGTTTGCAGCCGAGTGTGAGGCGAACGGGATGAGGATCAGCACCTCCAAATCCGAGGCCATGGTTCTCGACCAGATAAAGGTGGCTTGCCCTCTCCAGGTTGGTGGAGAGTTCTTGCCTCAAGTGGAGGATTTCCAGTATGTGGGGGTCTTGTTCACGAGTGAGGGGCGGATGGACCGTGAGATTGACAGACGGATCGGTGCAGCGTCTGCAGTATTGCGGTCGCTGTACTTGACCATCGTGGTGAAAAGAGAGCTGAGCAGGGGAGCAAAGCCTTCGATTTATCGGTCCAATCTACGTTCCGACCTCACCTATGGTCATGAGATCTGGGCAATGACCGAAAGAACAAGATCGTGGATACAAGCGGCTGAAATGAGTTTCCTCCGCAGGGTGGATGGGTGCTCCCTTGGAGGTAGGGTGAGGAGCTCAGTAATGCGGGCGGTGCTCGGAATAGAGCCGCTGTTCCTCCACATCAAAAGGAGTCAGCTGAGGTGGCTCAGGCATCTTTTTCGGATGCCTCCTGGATGCCTCCCTGGGGAGGTGTTCCAGGCGCGTCCCACCGGGAAGAGGGTAAGACCCAGGACACGCTGGAGGGATTATGTGTCTCGACTGGCCTGGGAATGCCTAGGGGTCCCCCCGGAAGAGCTGGAGGAGGTGTGTGTGGATCGGGAAGTCTGGGCGGCTTTGCTGAGGCTGCTGCCTCTGCGACCCAACTCCGGATAAAGCAGAAGAAAATGCATGGATGGGTTAATGGATGGATGGATAGATGCTAGTGACCCTGATTTGAAAAAAAAATAGTGTGTTTTGCCATTTGATCCACACAAACTGTTGGCTTTATGATTGAAGTTCACTTGTTTTTATACCAGAGAGGTCAGATAATTACATATGTTACCTTCAGGTTTGGCAGAAGGGAAGATTCCAAAGTAGCCTGATGTGAGTTTCTTTTCCTGCAGGATGTCCGGGAGGATGAGATGTGGGAAATTTTGATTGGGAGAGTCACTGCAGGTTTCAGTGTCCTTATCTAGATAAGCAAAATGCAGGTGACTGTGAAATAAATGTTACTGCTTACACAACTAGGAAAAGCCTTTTAAAGTTGTCTCCCAGTTACTCACTTTAATTGTTATTCATTTACATCAGTGATTAGATTCATGCGTCAGAGTACTTACATGGAAATACTTCACACCCACTAGCCGATCAGAGTGTACTTTGTGACATTCTATCCAACTCACAGAAATATGCTGTGTATGTTTGTCCTCCTGTGAGGCAATGGCAATAACACATTGTGGTGGGGAATGCTGCAGCTGCAGGTGAGTGCAGCCCTGGCCTGCCTCACCTGCTGGCCAATCACCTAATTAGAGCAGGATATTTAAGTCAGGTGCTTCTCTTTGTTCTCTCTCTGCTTCCTGAACTCTGTCCCTGCTGTGGCTGGTAGTGTTTGGTACCCAGGTAGGAAAAGGATACTTCATGCACACTCTTCTTTGAAGTAGCTGCATATTAATGTCAACCATCCTTTTGTTTGAAGTGTTGGTCAACTATAAAGTCATTTTGACCGTCTGCTAGACCAGTGTTTTTGTTAATGGCCCACAAGAGAGGTGGTGAGTAGGATGATTTTAAAATGCATTTTAATGTATATGTAGGTTGAACCTGGCTGATAAGCTTTTCCCCTTTTTCCAGGTTCTCCTGCATTTTAACCACTGCTGTTTTGCCTGTTACTTTAGTTTTCTTTGGTTTGGTTTAGCCAACTGGGCTAGGTTGCTTTTGTTTCTCATTCTTTTGTGTTTAGTTCTTTTCTTTTCAGAGCAGAGTGCCACTTGGTGGAGAGACAAGACACCACTCACTTTCTTTTTGCATGTGAGTAACTGCACAGGGACACGACATAGATTGCACCATTTTGCTGTGAGACTTGTTGTGTTGCACCCAGGTGAGCATAGGTGGCACCCCTGGACACTCCTCTTTGTAGTCTGCCTCTCCACAAGTGACTTCTGTTCAATTCTTTGTTTTTGGTAGTTATTTTGGGGCTGGATTTTAAATTGGCTTTTTATTGATAGTGTTCCTTTCTTTTAAAATTCCTGTTGAGCTCATTTTAACTTATTGTAAGAAAGGAATATTTGTCACCCATTTCGTTTCTTTTTAATTTGTTCCTTAACTTTTCTTTCTTTTCAGCAGTTCCAGTCCACCCTGTTTAATCTGTTTTTAGTATTATCAATAAAAACTTGTGATTCACTTTTGAAAACCCGTCTCTGCCTTCCAGTATTGAATCTGTGTGCCTTGTTATCCACTTTTCCAAACATAAGACAGTACAATTTGTATTTCCTGGGGTGCAATTCCCCAGGTGGCGTTGTTCGGCGTTACTTCAAATCCTCTATATAGTGCACCTCGCCACAACACACTCACCTGCCAGGTTTTCCAGAGGAAGATCTGGGCGTATAAGGTTGACATATGGCTCTGTGTAGCCCAGATCCACCCAGTTAGTGTGGCTGTAGAAATCCTGAAATATAGAAACATATGTGATGCAAGTTTGTCTTTCTACAACTTTATGCTTCATCATTTGGTCTGTTCCAATGATTTTTTTTTCTTTTTTCATTTTTCCTATTAATTTATTTACACCCAGTTGTTTACTCCCACTTTTCTTACCTGTAGTGTATGAAGGACTCTACCCAGAGTCTCCCTGGCTGCCTGGAAGTTCTCATTGCGAATGTTGGCTTTGATGGCCGCCATACCCCCCGTGATTAGGCTGCGTCCCTCCAAAATGGCCTCAGAGTTGAAGTGATGTGGAGCACTGAGAGAATATTCCACATGTAAGAGCAAACCATATCTGTAGCTTTCATACAAAAACTGTACAGTTATGGGTTTTCTTTGATTTGGATTTCCACCTGTAGATGAAATTGCGGTCTAGCAGTGCATTTTGTGTGTAGATCTCCTGAAGAGCAGAGGAAAACTTGGCACCAGACACCTCTCCTGTTGCTGTGGGACCGAGACAGGCCTGGACCAGCTCTTCAGGAGAGGAACCCTGAAGGTAAAGGATGAGAGGTCACAATTACAGTGACAGACAATAAGAGAAGAAGATGCATTATCTGAACAAGGTGTCTACACAAGACTGCTTTAACAATGGAGCCATGTTTGTATGGAGCTTATCAATTCTAATATCACTGAAATTAAAATAGAATTACATGGATATACCACAAAGTTAGCATTTTTATTTATTCCTTTAAAGGGTAGTTTTTCCAGGTTGACCTAAAACACACAAATGTATTACAACTAAGGATGAATCAGTGTGTGTTTATTGTATTTCTGCATGTTTTAGGTGACTGTTTGCGCTGTCTTGAATATTTTTTATCTTTCACTTTACCGTGGGTTTGAACTCATGACCGGCTGCCTCAGCCACCGCCTGACACGTCTCTGTCACTTTTTGCAATACAGCGTTTCTTGTAATGCTGACATGAGAGGCTGAATCACCGCCAATGGGGACAAAGGCAACAGTGGGGCTTGAAAGTGTCAAGACCAGCAGGGCTATGCCCAGAACTGATGTCATGGTCAATCTGCAGAGAAAAATATATTTGTTATTACCTGTCACATTGCTTTAAATGGCTATTAATGTAATAGGTGTAGTTGGTTCCAATTGTGTATCCCATATACTGATGCATTTTCTGGACTGAATACAAGAATCTGTCAGGACCACTGACCCTGGCTCTGTCTAGAGGACAGCCCTGATCTTTATTTAAGCCTGGGTCAGACGTCCGCTCATCGCCAGAATGTAGACTCTACTACTCAGTCAGTCTTGCTCAGGCCTCCAAGTGAATGTCACTAGCCCCAGTATGCACCATGGATAACGTTTGTTTGCTCTGCCTCCAGCTCTCTGACCAGCCTCCTGCCTCATCTTCCTGCTGCCACAGCCGAGAAGAATTTGCAATCCCACTCCAGCCACACCAGCTCCTCTGGCCTCTGCACACTCACCCTCGTGGATAAAGCTGGACCTTGGATTCCTCCACCTGCCACTGCCAACTCCGGTCTGCTCAGCTCTGCTTGCTGTTTGTTCTGCTCTGCCTGTCCTGGATCCTGATTCCAGCTTTTAGCCTCAGAATCTTTACTGGGTTTTAATTGCCCTGACCAGCCCCTGAACCCTGTCTGCTAAGTGTTGGAAATTCAGCTGTCGACTGTTTGTTGTTTTACATGCCTGCGCTCTGCCAATAATTCTTAGTTTTGGTTTTCTTGTAGTTCCTGTAAACTACTGTTGTGTTTTCGGGCTGTTTAGTTTTGGTTTCAGGGGAGTGGCAGCCTCTGTAGTACTCCCTCACTAACAACCCTTAAGGTTGTCTTAGTAGTTCAATATATTCAACAAAGCAAGAAGCTGTTCATAGATAAAGACACAGTTAGTATTACATTTATTTACCATAATGTTGCACCTTTTTTGTCCTTTATTTTCTATTTACACAGATTCCTCAGTGACAGTTTCTGTGTAAATAGTAATTAAAAAGCCATTATGGACGACAGTTATAATGCAGTGTTTGAAATAAAATGCCACTTAAAATAGCTGCAACAAAACAAAATAAATTGGCAAGATATTAACATAATTCAGCAAATACAAAGACTTAACACCACTTAATTTTTTTTTTAAAGTAATTACAATAGCCTGAACAAAATACACTCATAAAATATAGTGCTTATTGTATACTCTAAATTCTTATGTTGTAATAGTTACAGCATTAGGAAAAAATAAAGACAAATATTAATGTTAAATAATTATGTTCAAGAGAAAACACTGAAAACACTCTAAATTATGTGAGAGACAAAAAAGTGAAACAGTTTTACTCTGAAATGCAGCAATACCTCAATGTCTCCCAGCTGTGATGACTCTCTTTCTTTGATTTCATTTGTCAAGACTTCTGTGATCTCGTTTCATTTCCTTGAAACTTCTTCCAACTGACCCATTATCATGTCTTCTTGCCAAATTACAGTTTGACAGATTTTCTCATTTTACCTTGAAAAAACATTCATCCTGATGCAGGTGTTGCTGACACACAGGTGCACACCGAGTGTCCGGAAACGCAATGTTTATTTTCTCAAAAAGCTATCTTCTTCACGCCATGTATCCAGTCAAGACATAAACTCCAGTAGGTGTAGTCTCTTACAAAATTCCTGGGAATAAATCCAAACCCCACCTTAAAAATCACAATAACCATGAAGCAAAATGAATCTCATTCTGTCTACTTGCCAGAGCTACTGGTCTACAGAGCACTGAGGGAGAAAAGAATGTGCAGTGAGACAGAGAGTAAGCATACTGTGGGTTGTAGAGAGGCTAAAAAAGGCAGTGGAACATGTTGAACAATGAGTTAAAGTGAAAGTTAGGGATGAGCTATGGGTAAACAGAAGAGGAAAGAGCAATGAAGTGTGAGAAAACAGCAACAAGAAGACAAAAATCTGAGTGGGGAGAAGGAATGACAAATATATTCTTGGAACTGAACTTGAAGCACTTTAGTCTTCAATACCAAAACAAGAAAATAGCTTTTATCAGTTCAATTTCCATCCATTCAATTCCAAGGAAATTCTTTGCTGTGCATAGCCTTATTTGTCACTAAACCCTATTTCAGACATGGGATATGTAACATTACTGGCTTCATCAATCCGTTAAAGTGACGGCATTCTGTCATTCAGACATGTGTCACACAAAAATACTCCATATGAACCAATAGCAGCCTATCAACATGTCCGGATAACTAACAGCATAGTTTATGTATGATTTTTGATAATAACAGAACAAATTATTTTACCAACAGTAAAAGAACAGTATGACTTGCTTTTAGATCATGATCGATACTGTCTCCATGCTGGGGACAATTTAATTGTTTCTAACTTAATTAATGAAGTTACTGTGTTGCTCCATGCTTTGGAAACAGACACATGGATCATTCTGATTTTTCATGCTGCAGATATTTAATATCTCAGAGTGAAGACTCCTAAAAACAGCTTGAGGCAGCTTTGGGTCCTGACCCAGACTGATTCTATCCTAACGTCAGGGATAATTTAGAATTACCCCTAGTAATTAAGTTACCAACGCTGTTATTCCATGTGCGCAAACTCGAGAAGCTCTCTTGCTTTGAAGGAGTGGATCTGGATTCTACTTCCTGCTGATGGTATTTAGTAAACTCAGAGGATAGACGCTGTGATTTCAGAGGAATATTGGTGCAGAAATGTGGAAAAGCTTTTCCTTTATCACTTTCCACAAGTACTGTTCCTTGTGTGTTCCTATCTGTTAATGTGTAGTCCAGACTTGCACTGTGTTGAGAGTGATATGGAAATTGTACTAGTTCTGAGCTGACAGGATTACCATTACAACTTTCACTGAAAAGTTACAAAGTTACAGTCTGCAGATTCAGTTGCTATCAAATTAACCGGATGGAGTGCATGTCTGAAAGGGGTGAAAGAATGAAAGCGGGGTAGCTAGCAACTGGCAACTAGCTTAACTCCATCTGTATTCCAACAACTCCACCTTAGCAGGTCCACTCAAGCTCATTCAGACAGAATGCAAAGCATCTCTGCACCGCCATCTTCATGTTTGGGCTACAGTGTTGTCCTGTCTCAGCTGTCTGCTTTTGGTCATAAATCTATGACTGTCACCCCAGTTTCAGGTTGCTTGCACTGTGGAGCAGGAATTTTATATTGAATCTCCCTGTTATTGGTCCAATCCACCCTTCCTTCATTTATAGCCAGTCATCCTGTCCCTGTGGCTAGGAAGTGCCCCCAAAGAATGATGCTGCCACCACCATGCTTCACGGTAGGGACAGTATTAGCCAGGTGATGACTGGAGATAGTCTTATTTCCATAGAATTCAAACCAGAGAACATTTTTCTTTATGGTCTGAGTTTTTTGAAAGCCATTGGGGACACTGTCAGGTGGCTTCTATTCAACCGGTTTACTATTGAGACCTGATTAACCGTTGAGTTTTTGGGCTTCGCTGTGACCTCGGCCCTTCTTTCTTATTTACTCAGTTTGGCTTGATGGCTTCCTCTAGGAAAAGTCTGGGTGGTTCCAAATTTCTTCCCATTCACAGTTATTGAGGCCGCTATGCTCTTTAGAACACTCAGAGCTTTGGGAAGGGTTTTTGCACTTCTGCTCTGATCTATCCATGTATCCATTACCTATGGTGACTTTACTCTGCAGAGGGTCAAGAGGTCTACAGCTTATCCCAGCTGATATTGAGCAATAGCAGAGGTACACCCTGGACAGGTTGCTAGTCCATCACAGTGCATCCATAACGCAGACAGACAAGCATTGCAAGCTCACACTCACACATTGGACCAGCTTAGAAATGGCAAATACTCTACCATGCATGTCTTGTGAGAGGAAGCCGGAGCTGCTCTGATTTATGCCTCTTCAGAAATTTATCAAAGAGGTCTACAGAGACGTCCTTGGACTTCATTTTTTTCTAAATATGCAGTTGGAATTGTGAGTTCTTATTTTCACAAATGTATACCAATTAAATTCATTCCAACCCGCACAATACTTTTGTAAATTAGAGGTTTCAGTTAGTGACTCTTTTTGGAATACTCTCCTTGTTTTACAACTAGTTGGCAACTTCTGCCATTTGGCATTGATCAAGTAGCGTACAGCTGCAGTTCTTGTACCGTGCTGACAGAAAACAGCCGTCTGCTGCTGCTGGCAATGAGATAGATCAAAACTGTCCCTGATAATGATCTGAGGAATCATCGCTATGAGCTACACATTTCACAATCACTCACTGGTTTCATCATTCATGAAAAGATACACATTACTGCAGCTTTAACGACAGTCATGTTTGGTTGAATGATGATTATCAAAACCATGAACAGTGTGAAACTTGATATTTGAGGTTTCAAATATAGCTGAGATCAGTGCTGGAGTTTTTTTTTTTTTTTTTTTTCAAATATAGCTGAGATCAGTGCTGGAGTTTTTTTTTTTTTTT